GTCGACCTCCACCTCGCCCCCTCGGCGCCGCGGACGATCGACCCAGCGTACGTGTGCACGATAAGCCAGATTTATATGCTCGCCCAGGCGGTGTGGGAGTCTTGGATTCCTCGGGAGCGGATTGCCCGACTTTTATTCGCCGCTGATGCCGCCCAGGATCGCCCCGCCGTTTCGAAAAGCGAGTGGGCGTCTGTGCGTGGCCCGATTTCGGCGGCTTTAGCCTGCTGCGGGCGCATCGGGTGGAACCTTGGCCCTGGGGTGTGTTCGTTAGAAACCAGGGAGGGCTTCAAGGTTGACCTGCTCTCGGTTTGTCCGCGGACGGTCCAACACCTGGCGCGCTTGAGCACGGAAGACTGGCTCCTCGACCGAGCCCAGCAGAGCTCAGAGTTTATGTTTGGCCTCCCCTCCCGCCCCTACCTTGCCCCTCCCCGACGTCTCTGCAACGGAGCGCTTGGGCCTGAGTGGACCACTCGGCATCAGGCCACTCTCCGCACGATTGTCTCGAATGGAGTTTGGGATCAGGCTCGAAAGGTGCGCCACGGCCTCACGAGCTGTCGCACGTGTCCGTTGTGTCACATTGAGTCCTGCCCTGGCACCTTCGAAGCTTGGGTTTCAGGAGTGTGCTCGGCCACGTGGGTGTACGTTCGTGAGTATGACCTCCCCCCTTCTCTGAGGGCCGACTTGGGTGAGCACTCGGCCTGGGCCCTCTGGAGACACGCCCTGGTTCCCGATCCTCGGCCCTCCGTCCCGAGCCCGTCCTCCTCCCTCCTTGCCCAGTGGCTCAAGCGCCCTGCGTCTGGTAGCATCGAAGGCTCGGCCTTCGGTGACGGCTCCTGCACCTCACCCGTGCAGGGAGACCCCCGACTCTGCCGAGCGGGTTGGTCCGTGGTGCAGGTCGACGCACAGGGCGGCCTGTCTGCTTCTTTGTGCGGCTTGCTTCCTGGCCCGCACCAGGCGTCGGACCTCGCCGAAGCCTTCGCCCTCCTGATGTACCTGACACACGTGGCTTTGGGGCCATACTGCTTCCACTCGGACTGCGCCTGGGTGGTCTCGAGCTTCGCGCGCGGGCGCGCCGAGACCACAGGCGCTCAGTGCGAGGCGGCGGACCTCTGGACTCGCATCTGGGATCGCGTGGACGACCTGGGCTGCGAAGTCCAGATTGCGAAGGTCAAGGGCCACGCTCGCCGCTGCGAAGACGGCGACACGGAGCGAGGCCTCGTCAAGCGCTGGGGGAATCATTGCGCGGACCTCGGCGCCCGAGCGGGCGCGGCCCTTCACCCCGCGGACCGTGCAGCGGTGGAGCGGGTTCGACGCACTTTCAACCTGGTGACGTTCGTTGCCAGATTTTTGGCTCGTGTACTGCGTTCAGCGGACCCGAGCCAGCAGGATGCGCCGCGACCTGGCCACCTGCGTCGCGCACGCAAACTGGGCCGCGCCCCCGCGTTGACGGCAGACACGGCGCTGCCGGCGGGGGTGCACGAGCCCGTGCCGTGTGGCAAGGGCTACCGATGCAGTCGCTGCTTCCGAGTCGCCAGGACGCGAGATGGCTTCATACCAGCGGCGTACAGCCCTGGCGGAGGCCACCGCGTCTGGGTCGCGGGGCCTTTCGTGTTCTGCGCGAGGTGCGGGGCGCACTCCAGCGAGAACGCGCAGCTCCTCGCGCAGCCTTGCCTCGGGGTCATACCCCCACAGACGCGGTCCCGCGTGGGCCGCCTGTGGGAAGGAAGGCGCCCGCGCACTGGCATGTTGCTGCCCACAGCCAGCGGCCAGGCTCGGCCTCAGCCGTTCGCCGACTTCGTCCTCGACGCCCTGGTCGGAGACCTGGTTGTCGTGGACGAAGCCGCTGAAGGCGAGTAGGCCCCTGGCTGCGCCTGCTGGCACTCCCTCAGGGAGGTGCTCGGGCCCTTCACTTTGTCAGGCTTTTGCCTGAGCCGCCTTGCTGTGCATGCACGCTTGGCGCCGCGCCAGTTGAAAACCCTCTTGGAGCTGCCTTGCGGGCCTTTTGGGCTGTTGCGGATGCCTGTTGGGCAGTCTTCGAGCCCTCGGAGGCTGTTCTTGGGGCTCTCTTGGAGGCCTCTTCGGCCGTCCTGGGGCGATCTTGGGGGCCTCTTAAGCCGTCTTGGAGCGTCGGGAAGCCGAATAGACGATGCCGCTAACATTCTTCAAAGACCTAAGGACAATCAATGATATCTGCATCTTGGGGCCCACTTGGGAAGCCTCTTGGAGGCCTCTTTGCGCGTCTTGTGGGCATCTTGCCATCTTGAGACCATCTTGGGCGTCTTGGGCCGATGCTTCGGCGACTCGGGGCCCCCTTGGACCGTCTTGGGGGCCTCTTGGGGCTCTTTTGGGCCCGTCTGGGGGCGTTCTTGGGGCCCCAAGAAGTCATGCGACAAGAAGCGGAGAACCCCAAGCGCCTCAAGGCAATTTCGGGACTGGGCCCTTCACATAAACCTCAGGAGTGAGGGCTGAGGCTAAAGAGGCTAGGCCAAGGACCTGAGGACACTCCAGCTCAGGCTTCACGGGCACGATAAGGGAGATACTACATCCGTACATACATACATACATGCGTTCATACCGATCATGCATCTCTTGTACCTCCAAGAGACGGCACAAGGTGCCCCGAAGACGGCCCCAGGTTGACCCGCAAGGGGCACAAAGCAGCCCAGGAAGCCACAAAGACCGCCGAAGTGGGCCCCAAGAGAGCCACAGGTTGGGCCCAATAGGGGGAACAGGGACTGCCGGTCCAAGCCCTCCGCACCAAGCCCCCAAGACGCCCCCAAGATGCCCCAAGAGGTCCCCAAGAGGCCCCAGAGAGGTTTCAACAAGGCTCCCCAAGGCCCCCAACAGGCACCGAGGGGCTTCAAACCTGCCTCTGGACTGGAGGCCCCCGAGAGGCACCCCAAGAGACCCCAACAGGTACCCAGAAGCCTCGGACACGCAGCACTGGCACGGTGCCGAGATATGCCTACAGCCAGTGGAGAAGAAAACGACTAGCCTGGCAAAGGGACAGCCCTATGCAGTTGCGTGTAGCCCAGAGCAGGGCCCTCTCTCGAAACGCCCGAGAAGACATTTCCCCATCCCCGACCGACATGACGGCAAGGCCGCAAGTGTCAAAGCGTATCCCAAGGAGCTGCACGAGTGGCTTTCAGAGTTGCCAGCGCCACGATACGAGCTCGCCCAACTGGAACCTGGGCGCGCGCGCAGCGCGCATGTTTCTAGTAAATGTATAGGCGTATGTGTGTATGTATTCATGTTCGCCCTCTCGCTCTCTCACACACTCTCCCTTTCTCTATCTATGTATGTCTCCTTCCCTCTCTCTCTCTCTCTTTCTGTGTTCCTCTCTTTCTCTCTCTCGCTGTCTCTCCCTCCCTCGCCTCTCTTTTCTTGTGCCTCCCATTGAGTGTGCCACGACTTTTGCAACTATGGGACTGGCAAACAGGTCCGCAGTCCACTGGCGCCGCTGAAGTCTCGGCGGATACCCATACTGGACGCATGTGGAATTTTAGCCTTACTGCCTTCAGGCCCGATTTCGTGTGACGCACGTACGAGGCGATTGCCCATTCAGTTACCGCTGGCAGCATTCGATTATCGAAGGGATGCGCCTGGGGTGGCAACGGTGGATGCTGGAACGCTTTCCTAGAGCAGAGGCCAAACCCGTACATGAAGTTCCCAGTTATTCGGCCATTGCCTGGGCTATCGTAGCCAGGTCGGCCGTTGAAGGGAATCATGTGGCGATGGGGCGGAGTATACCGAATCGTCGAGCGCGCTGAACATGACAGCTGCTGGAGGGAACGCGCTCTGAGCTCATCAGAGTCTCTGTTTGGTCATGCGTCGCTTGTTTTTCATATTAATATGATGTTTATTATATTATTATGTTTGTTTGTTTTCTCTCTCTCTCTCTCTCTGTCTCCCTGTCGCGAAGTATTTCTCCTGCGCTCCTCGACTCTCGATCTCTCTCCCTTCCTCTTCCTCTGGTGCCTCCCTGGCGGTGTGCCCCGCGGCTCCGCCGCAGCGCCCCCGCCCTCGCGCCCCTCCCCCCCCCCTCCCCCCCTTCCGGTGTGCCTTCCGCAAGTCCCCCAGAGATGCAATCCTGGCCCCAGGGGGGGGGGGGCATGGAGCGGGCGCCCGCTCTCCGGGATCGAAGCGGACACGGGCGTGCATCCGCTGGGAAGAGACGTCAGAGGTGGTCGCCACGTCGCGCATCGTGCGCGTCCCATGTGGCAGCACAGAGGGTACGGGGAGACGCTGACGCGGCGTCCGATGTCTTCTGTCCATTGCAACACACGAACACAAACACAAACACACACACACACACAAACACAGACACAAACACAAGCACAACCACACATACAAACACCAACACCAACACAACGACAAACACAAACGCAAACACAGACACATACACAACGATAACCACAAGCACAAGCACAAGCACAGACACACACACAACCACAACCACACAAACACAAGCACTAACACAAATACACAACACACAACAAACAACACACAACACACAACACACACACACAACAGACACGACAGAACACACACAACACACACACACACACGCCTCCAGGGATCGGAGCTCCCAATGGATGTGGCAGACATTGATACACACCCCGCACCACACAGTACGAGAAGCGTGCACGCACACTGCAGTTTGTCCTCCTGCTCCACCCCGCTGCCGCCGGTGCCGCTGCTCCCCCTCCCACATCCTCCCCTCTTCCCGCCCCCGCCCGCGCTTCCTGCTCCAGCGACTGCTCTGGCCCTGAGTGCAAGCCACGATGGACGCTTGCGACTACCGTGCCCGGGGGCGGCGGCACCAGGAAACCGGGCCCAGTAGCGAAATCAGGGCGCCCCAGGGGCCATCTCTTCGGGCCCTTGCCCCTTACCCTCGTCGCCCGCCTGCCGTGGCTCCGCGGCTCTGGTCCCCAGGGGTGGGCCGCCCTGGCGCACGGCGCCGCCCGCGGCCCGCGGCCCGCGGCGGCCGGGCTGCGCAGATGGACCGCTTCCTCGTGCGGAGGGCGGCGCCGGCGGAGGGGCCCGGAGCGCCGCCGGCCAAACAGGCGCGGGCCGCGCCATCGGGCGGCGCGCCGCCAGAGGGCCCGCCTGGCGGGGTCGCCGCCCGCGAGGGCGCCGCGGGGGCGGCGGCGGGGGACCCCAGGAGGATCCTCTCGTGGAACGTGAACGGCCTCTTTCAGCGGTCGCGGTCGCGTGCTCCGCCCGAGAGGGGCCCAGGGGGGGAAGGGAGGGGCCCCGGGCCCGCAGGGGGCATCCGTACAGCAGGTGTGTGTGTGTGTGTGTAGACCCTCCTGGCCTTGCACTGTGACAGTGCCGCGGGTGGCCCTGGCCAGGCATGATGGTGAATCGTGAGTGACTTCCACGTGCTGGAGCGACCGAGCAGACCTTGCCTGGCAGGAGGCGATCGAGACCGGATCGGCCGTCCTGGCTGCGCTCCAGCCAGCGGGCCGTCTGCTCGGCTGCTTTGGGGGCCCCGCTGGGCCTCGGGTTGGGGCCAGGCGACCGCGGTCTCCAGCGGCTCCAGCTGGACTGGAGCACGATCCACGCCTTCCTGCTGGAGGAGCGGCCCGACGTGGTCTGCCTGCAGGAGGTGCGCCTCCCGGCCGCCGGCCCGAAGGGCTGCAAGAAGGGCGACGGGCAGAGGCGGCGCCGCGGGGAGGCGAAGCAGGAGACGAGGCAGGAGAGAGAGGAGTGGGCCCTGGTCGAGAAGACCCTGCTCGGGGCCCTGCGGCAGGAGTACGCGGTGCACTGGTCTCTGGCAGACTGGAAGTACTCTGGCACGGCGATGCTCATTAGGCGTGGCATCCAGCCCTCCCGGGTCCTCTTTACGCTTCCCGCGCTCGCGCGTGAAGGCGTCCACCGAGACCCAGCCGACCCGCATTGCCACCCAGAGGGCAGGGTGATATTGGCGAGCTTCGAGACCTTCGACCTGCTCGCGACCTACGCGCCGAACAACGGCAACGACGCGGCGGCGTTTGCGCGACGGGCGGCGTGGGACGCGGCCATGCTGGAGGAGCTCTCCGCCCGCAGCCGGCCGCTGGTCTGGATTGGGGACCTGAACTGCGCCGCCGCGGAGGCGGACGTCAGCCACCCGGCCTGGTTCCTGCAGCAGTGCCACCAGGGAGAGCCTCCTGACATGCGAGGCCAGCCCGGCTTCACCGAGGGCGAGCGGCGCCGCTTCGGGGAGATCATGGCAGGCGCGCGCTTGGTGGACGCACACCGCCGACTGCACCCCGCTTCGGAGCCGCCGGCCGCGGAGGGCCCGCACTACACCTGGCGTGGGCACCCGCCGGTGCACCAGCCCGTGGCCAAGTACCACGGCAAGGGCATGCGCATTAGGAGGCCGCATGCGAACCCTGCCCCACCACCCCACGATTTCGAAGGGGGGAGGTGGGGTTCATTTCACTCTCGAGGTCCCGAACGAAGTGAACCCCGCCTCCCCCCTTAAAAATCGTGGGGCGGTGGGGCAGGGTTCGCATGCGGCCTCCTGCGCATCGACTACGCCCTCGTGGCTGAGGAGCTGGTCGGCAGGGTGGAGGGCACTGCCATAACTCGGAGCCTGGCAGCTGAGGCCTGCCACCGCCAGCGCCTGGCCAGGCCCACGCCTGGGGTTAAGTAGTCGGGCATGTCCCTCTGCAGGAGGAACATTCAAGAATAGTAGAAAAAATAGTCTGGGGACGATTCTTCGCGCTCTTCTGACTATTCTTGAATATTTGTTGCATTTATTCTAGTTCCGCTTGTAGGAGGACATGCCCGACCTTAGCCTGGGGCCCTGGGCCTGCGTGCGTCGACTACACGTAGGAGTGACCCTTCGCCGGAGCGACCTTTGGTGCGGGCCAATTGGGGTCTCCCGATCGCTGCGTGCGATGCGATAGCAGCAGCCTGCGCGCTTGGGTTTGGCCCCCCCCGCGCCCCCCCACGGAAGCCGTGCACCGAGGGCAACTCTCGGGCGGAGCCATGGCGAGGAGAATCTGTTCCACAGCGCTCTGGAACGCTTTCAGAGCGTTCCGGAACGCTCTCAGAAGGCCGCGGCGCCCGAGACATTCTCCAGATCCGCGGGATCTCAGAGATTCTCGATTCATCCTTACCCGAATTCACCCTCGTCGGGGCTCCGTCTTGCACCCTTGTCCGGGATCACCCTTGCGTGTAGCCAGATGCAGAGGGGCGCCCTCGGCCCTGCCCTCGTGGGGCGGCCTGGCACACGGGCCCGCGGACCCAGACCCCCGACGCCGTGATTCGCTCATGGCGTGGGCCCCCGGAGGTGTTGACGCCTTAAAGCTGCCCCGATACGCCCGCTCGGAAACGCATTCGAGGCGTCCGTGGTAACACGCTGCGCGTTGGCTCGGCGCGTGTTGGTCCACGTTTCGGCGAACGTCTCGCGCCAGACCTACGTTTTCAATATCCGTCTTGAGCTCCGTGTCAAGACGTTACGTGTGGCGTGTTGCGCATCGGGGCAGCTAAGGTCTGCACCCACTGCCCAGCATCGGCGTTCCATCCCGGGGCTAGGTTTGGGGCCAGGTAATTATGGGGGCCCCCAAAGGCCGAACGCTGCCAGAAGCCGCCCGCTTTGGCTTGCCACGACGCCAACCTGTCTGGGCCCTAGCCCGCGGGCCCAGGTGGGCCTGGCCGTGGGCCGGCGGCGGCGGTGGCGCAGCCCCCGGCTCCCGACCCATACTCGGGCACGGGGCGGCGCGGGTGGGCTTCATGGGCAGCGACCACTGCCCCGTGCGGCTGGCGGTGCGCCCCGCCGAGGGGGCGGCTCCCGCGCTGGGCTAGGAGGGGGCCACAGGCCTCTCAGCAGATGGGGTCGCAGGATCGCGCCGCATCGCCGATGCATCGGCGATGCGGCTTGATCTGGAGCCCGTGCGTCGCCGAAGCATCGCCGATGCGGCGCAATCCTCCGACTCCGTCCACTTCGACCCCATCCGGCAGGCCTCTCGGGGGGGGGCGGGCTGCTTCGCGGCCTGCGTCGGAGCGTGGGGGGCTGCTCCGCGGCAGAAAGCCTGGCAGCCTCGCCCTGCTTGCCTCCCCCTCGCCCTGCTTGCCTCCCCGGTCCACAATTGCTCAACATGAGTACTGCTCTCCTCTCTCCCGCGGCCACGTGCTGAAAATATCCCGCATTCTCCCTGTATTGCATGCACAGGATCTCAGCTCTTGGCACGTACTTTGTTTGGATCAATCTCGGTGTCTCAAAATGGTGCTGCCGCTGCAGAGTTGGCCTCATTTTCGGATGGGTGCTTTGCTCCCGTCGCTCAGCATGGCGTTCTCGCCTCAGCGTGGGCCATTTTTCTGAATCCGAGTCCTCCCTTCCTCTGCGTTGTCGCCCCCCTCGTTTCCCCTCCTCTGCTCCTTCGCCTGGTCCTCCTGTCTGCTCCTCCCGCTCCTTCCACTCCATGTCCCGCTGCTGCTGCTCGTCGTCGTCGTCCTCCTCCCTTATCCTTCCTTCTCCTCTTGCTCCTGTTCATCCTCCAGCTCATGCGTCCGCCACCACCTACCACCTACTCCTCTTCCTCCGCCTCCTATGGCCGCAACTCCCCTCTTCCGATTGCGCATGCTACGTTTTGTTTGGAAGTTCCAGGTCCTCCGCGACGGCTAAAGAAACCATTCAGCGCAGTGGGAAGCGATGAGTGGGAGGGGCAGGATGCCAGATGCAGTCAAGTCGCATAGCCAGGTTAAGCAACTGTCTGAGGCAACCCTTGCATCCTTGCCCCTTCGGCCCATCCCCGGCGGCTTTCGCTGGCCACACCCTTCTCAAAAACGCCAGCATGGCCCTCCAAGGCCCCTCGCATCCTTAACGCACACACCGTTACTGTGCGACCCGACTGTGTGGCTCGGGGGAAGTTGGCCTGCCCCCCCCTCCCTCCCTACTGCCCCCCCCCTGCCTGGCCTCCTGCCCAGCCGCCCCCTGCCCCCGCCCTGCGCCCCGCCTCCCCCTTCCCTTCCCCCCCTCCCTCCCTCCTGCCTGCCCCCCCCCTCTTTACTGCCCTCTGCCTGCCCTCCCGCCCCCCATCCCTCCTCCCTCCTGCCTCTCTGCTTGCCGTCCTGCCCAGCCGCCCCCTGCCCCCGCCCCCCGCCCCGCCTCCCCCTTCTTCCTCCCCGCCCGGCCCGCGCCCACTCCCCCGACCTGCGCCCCGCCCCTCCCAGCCCCGCCCCGCCCTCTCTGCCCCCGCCCGCCTCCCCCGTCTCCTCGGCGGCATCGCTCGGACGTGTGCGTTGCTTCTCGGCGAGGTCCATCGAGCAGCATCTCGGGCCACCTTGCGAAAAAAGATGTACGCGCGAAACCGAAAAACGCACGGGGAATGGATGTTCGAGCGATGCCGAGTCTCTCTCCCGTCCGGCGAGGAGGGTGACGACGGCAGGGCAAGGAGGGGGGGGGCAGCTGGAGGCGACAGAGTTCGAGCAGGAGATCGACTACAGAATTGATGTACCCCAGAACTGAATTATTTGTCGACCCCCTACGGAAAAAAACGTAGATGTTAGGTTATACCTATACGACCACCCTGCGGGTGATAAGGAGGTTGGGGGGGAGGAGGCCAGCAATCGATCTCACTGTCGATCTCATTATCCATCCCACTATCGATCCCACTATCGATCTCGCTATCGATCTCACTATCTATTTCGCTTTCGATCACACTATTCATTTCACGATCGATTCCACAATCGATCTCGCTATCGATCCCACTCGATCGATCTCACTATCGATCACACTATCGATATCACGACCGATCTCACTATCAATCTCTCACTATAGATCTCACTATCGATCTCACTACCGGTCTCATTATCGATCTCACTATCGATCTCACTATCGATCTCACTGTCGATCTCACCACGGGACACCACGGGACAACGACGGGACACCGGCGGGACACCAGCGGGACACCAGCTGCACCGGCGGGACACCGCGCGCCACCGGTTGCTGGACACCAGCGGGACACAAGCGGGACACCACAGCGGGACACCGGCGGGACTCTGGCGGGACACCGCGCGCCACCGGTTGTTGGGCGGAAAACGTTTTGGTCCAGCCGCGGCCCAGCCACAGGAGAATTTCCTCTCCCCCGCCCACGCAGCTTCGCCTCGCCCGCACGCACGGCACAAACACGAAACCGAAATCGATTTCGCGGTAGGGGGGCTATCCGTTCCAGTTCGATCTCACCCCCCAACCTCCGATACAAGAACATTCGTCGCACTCTTTTTGTAAGTCCGACGAACAAAGATTTGGTACAGAACTTGTGCGGTCGATCGTCTGCCCGAAGAGGCGCAGGACAGCAAACTGGACGTTCAGAGGCCCGCGCAGACTTCTCGGGTCGGCGCGGGGACCCCCCGGCGGCGCCCCATGGCACCGCCTCTGCCGCGCGTCGCGGCGCCAGTGATGGGGGGGGGCCCAGCGCCGGCCCGTGAAGCCCGTGCGGACCTTTGCGGACCAACTCTTCTTCTTCTTCTTCTTCCTCCTCCTCCTCCTCCTCCTCCTCCTCCTCCCACTCCTCCTCCTCCTCCTCCCACTCCTCCTCCTCCGCCTCCTCCTCCTCCTCCTCCTCCGTTTTGATTCCTCTGACAGGAGGGAGGGATCACCACCGAGCCTCCGCAGGCCCACGCCCGGCCCAGATCTTGACGCAGACCTGCCCGGGTCCCGGGCCGGAGGAGGGAGGTCCGCAGAGGAGTTGAGAGGCGCTGGGAGGGTCCCAGGAGGGTTCTGGAAGGACGGAGGGTTCTGAAGGGAATGGTGGTGGTGAGGAGGAGGAGGAGGAGGAGGAGGAACAGGAGGAGGAGCAGCAGGAGGAGGCGTATCAGGAAGTATCTTCCCACCCCATCTGGGGCAGCCAAACATAGCCGTCCATGAAGGTGTGGCGATTCGGTTGCTGGTAAGATGGTGAGGGGGGTATGCTGCGCCAGGCTGTATGCTTGGTCGACTGCTGTCCCAAGCGATGCGACTAGCGACGTGTGAGACGGAGGATGAAGAGGATGGAGAGGGGGGAGGAAGGTGAGGAGCCGAACTGTTTGAGGATGCTTGGCCGAGTTCTAACTGTTGTGAGGGGCTTCGATTGGGTTCTTTGGGGGTCCCTCGTCCTGCTCCTCCCAAAAGTCCCCTCCCCCCCTTCACTCTCTCTCTCGTCTCCCTCCCAAGTTTCATCTACCTTCCCCCCTCCTCCCTTTCTCCAACCTCTTCCCTCCCTTGCAGAAGCGAGCGGTGCCATGAGGAAAACGAGGAGGCGAACGAGGCCTCGGGAGGCTCCGGGAGTGGTCCGTGCGGGGCCCTGGAGGGGGAAGGGGGGAGGCGCACTGCCCGTAGGGGGGCTGTCCGGGGGAGGAGAGAGAGAGAGAGAGAGAGAGAGAGAGAGAGAGGCAGCAGCCTGGGCGGGCGCCTGTCAGGGCGATCACGCTTCTTGTTCTCCGGCAGGCGTGGCGAGCCCTGCCAGGGCCCACCGCCAAGGCGACAAGGCGCCCCCGCTCCGGCACGAGCAAGCACACCCGTCGGCCAGAGCAACCTCGGCCGGGAGGGCCGATCGCCTGGCCTTGGCCGTCGGCCTGTCCAAAGGGGCACGCTTGTCGAGGGCATCGGCCCCCTCCCCATCAGAGGGGCCGAGGGCAAGCAGAGCAGTTCCGAGCCCGAGCCCGGAGCTCACGGGCTGCCGGCAGAAAGGCGAAGCAATCTTGGGCTGCGATGCACTCCCGGGACCCTCCAGGGCCACTCCGAAATGCCGCGAAAAGCAGGCACGGGTGGCCTCTGAGGGGGTCTGACGGGGCCCCAGCTTCAGCACGGGCCCCAGCTCCACAAGGAGTTGGGTGGTTGTGAGCTCGCAGCCTCTCTCTGACAGTGAAAGCCGGACGTCCTTCGAGCTCTCTAGGGCCCCATGCAAGTCCCCGAGAATTCACGCTGCATGGGAGTCGTGGCGTTCTGCCATCGCTTTGACGGGAAGAGGGGTGATAAGGACGAAGAGGACGAGGAACAGCAGGAGAAGGAGGATGAGAAGGATATAATTGAGTTAGGGGAGGAGGAGAAGGAGGAGGAGGAGGAGGAGGAGGAGGAGGCGGATGAGGATGAGGATGAGGATGTTGGCGACGACGACGATGACGAGGACGACGAGGATGACAGCAAGGGCTACGTACGACCACAGCGACATCTTTATGACGACGACGAGCTTGCGGCTGGTAATGTTTGTTTCCTTCCTGGGTCCTGATTCCTGGAGGTCTTGGGAGGTCCCTGCGAGGCTTCCACAAGGTTTTGGAAAGAACTTCGAGACTTCCAGAACCTACCGAGACTGGACAAAGGCCTTCCCTCTTCGATTCTGGGAGAACGGCTCCCAAGAGGCTTGCTCTGGAGACCCTTGTGGAGACTCGAGGCTTAGCATGTCGACGGGCCCAACCCTATGCAGAGGCATGTAGCGCAGGGCGGTCCTCCCATGGTTGTTCCTCTAGCGCTCTTCGTGCACCCATGCGCTTTTCCGACTAGAAAACATTCCGAATCCAGCAATTCCTTCAACAGGAAGCCTAGCCACTGCATTGCGCGCTGCCAAACAGTGTAAATTACAAGGCTGCGGGGCGCGCGCGCAGAGGCATGCTGACCGCCACGAAACTCACGAGAGGTGCTCCGACAGGGGCGCGGGCGAGCGGGCGGTGAGGCTCGCTGTGCCCGCCGGCGGAGCTCCCTGCGCGGCCACGGAACGCGTGAGGAGCGTGCCGAGAAGGGCATGCGGAGAGCAGGGGCGAGGACGGGGGGGGGATGTGGAGGGCAGGGGCAGCGGAGGGGAGGGGGCAGCGGGACGAGGCCTGGGGTGCTGCTGATTCAAGCCAAGGGCCCGGCACCAAAGGGTGCTTGGGAATCAGAGCCTCGCATCTCCGATCCTCGAGGGAAAGAAATCACGTCTCCCCAGAGGCCTCTGCAGGCTGGAGGCCTCCAGAGGGAACCCCTGGAGACCCCCAAGCTGGCGCAGGAAGCGCCCAGGAGGGGGTGACCATCGGGAGGCGGGGGTCGCCGGCTCCTCCTGGAGATCTCCAGGCTCGAGGGCCGGTGATCGGACAGGGTTCTGAACGTGTGTGGGCTTAGCTGCCTCTATACCCGTCGTTCGTTGAGAGTGGGTGTTTTGGGATGCAAGCAAGCAAGCAAGCAAGCAAGCAAGCAAGCAAGCAAGCAAGCAAGCAAGCAATCAAGGCAGCAGTCCGATCGAGTCAAACTCGGCCCGGGATCGGGCGCGACTGTGTGAGACTTCGAGCATCACTGTTGGTGCTCGATTGAAAATTGCACGAAATCGTCTTCGCGCGTTGCAAAATCATTGGTCAGTGCCGCTTCTAGCCAGTCTGTTCCAAAATAAGCGTTCGAGAATCTTCCCAAATAGTCGTCCCATCTCACTGCGGGTCGCCCACGTCCACGTCCAGCTCCAGGAAACGTTGTAGTGGGGTGCCAACGAGATAGTATTGCAGGCCAGCTACCAATTATACTGAACTGCCTGCGCAGCAACTGAGCGCTCCAGTCTTCCATTGGGTATTTCGTTAAGGCAGAATCGATTTTTAATCGCATCCTTCTCATTGTGTCCTCCCACGGCTCGTCCACGAGACGGGTCCAACCAACGATTATTCGGAGCATTCGCCGCTGCAGTACGTCCAATGAGCACATCCGCGCTCGTGCCATCGCACACGACGAAAGGCCAAACAAACATAATCGTTGGCGTGATCACCGTGTTGAAATACTTGATCCAGGAGTATATGCTCAGGTGCTTGTTGGTCAAGATGTCACAATGCTGATGAGACCGCATCCACGCAATCTGAATCTGGTGGCCCACCTCGTGGAAATTCCTTGCACGCAGGTTGTCGCATAATTTCCGCCCCAGATACTTGTGGGCCGTGTCGCCGGTGAGGATCTCCACGGGCTGTCCACGGGTTTTTGGATGCCCAGATCCCAAATCTATTGGGTCGCCGGCTCCTCCTGGAGATCTCGAGGCTCCAAGGCCGGTGGTCGAACATGGTTCTGAACGTTGTGGGGCTTAGCTGCCTTGACACTCGTCGGCCGTTGAAAGTCTGCATGTTTGGATGCCCAGAGCCCAGGCTACTTTGGCCGCCTTCCTACTTCAGGAGTCGAGTGGTCATTCCTCTTTCCTCCTCTTCAGGGGCCTGGCGGAAACCCAATCTTCTTCCAACGCCTTCCCACTTCCAGGTTCGATCTACTTCTTCCGACCGACGGGTACGCCCGTTTTGAACGCAACACGTGCCGCGCTCAAAACGGCTGTGTCAATACGCTGCGTGTTGGCTCAGCGTATTGGCCCACGTTTTGGCGACCGTATCGCGTCAGGCCTACGTTTTCAGCCTACGTGTTGAGCTTCGTATCGATACGCTGCGTGCTGCGTGTTGCGTACTGGGGTAGCCTTCTTTTGTTGTCTGTGTGTGTGTGTTTTGCGTGTCCTGTGGGGTGGGGGGGGGTCGGGGGCCTTGAAGGGGACCCCCGCCTCGATGAGTTGGCCCTCCCCCCGCGGTTGTGACCACCCTCGGCGCTGCCGGGCTGCACCGGAGGTGCCCCGAGATCCTGCCGAGACCGTGCGGCAGCCTCCCCGCCCCAGGCCCGCGCGGGCAGATCGGCGGCGGGGACGACGCGACGCCGATCTTTCCGACCGCGTCGGTCACGACTTCGCTGTTGGCGCCGCGACGACTCCGCGTCGACTTGACGACGTCGACTCTTGGTGTGGACGCTGTGACGGCTCTAGGAGGGGAGGAGGAGAAGGAGGAGGTGTATCAGGATGCGGATTAGCAGGAGGAGGAGGAGGAGGAGGAGGAGGAGGAGGGAGAGGGAAGGGAGGGGGAATATCTGAGAAGGAGGGTGAAGAGGATCAGGAGGAGGCGGAGGTGTAGAAGGATGAGGATCAGCAGGAAGAGTAGGAGGAGGAAGAAGAGGAGGGGGAGGATCTAAGGAGGGCGAAGATGAGGAGGAGGAGCAGGAGGAGGAGGAGGAGGAGGAGGAGGAGGAGGAGGACGTCGACGACGCGGCGACTTACAACGACAGCGACGACTCTACGGCGACGCCGTGCTCGCGTCGTGCGGGTCGCGCGCGAGGCCGGGGGGGCCGGCTCCCGGTGGGCCCGCCGTGCCCAGGCCCACGAGCCCTCGCGCTGAGCGGGCGGGGCGCCGGCGGCCACTCCCTCCCGCTGTTGCCGTCGCGCCATTCCTCGCTGCCGGGCGGGGAGGAGGAGGACCGGTCGACGACGCGTAAGGGCGACCTGTCGCCAGAGTGACCCTGGGTGCGGGCCCAATGGGGTCCCCCGATCGCAGAACGCGATGCGGCAGTATCGTCTTGCGCGCCTGTGTTCGGTCCCCCCGCGGCCCCCCAGAAGCCGCGCACCAAAGGTCACTCTCACCCAGGGTCGCTCTTGCGTGTAGTCGAATCGGGGCGGTCGAGATGGGTACGGAAAGAGTGGGTACAAAGACCGACAGCAGCTCCTGATCATTCGAACAGGGCTCAGTGTCGGTGCCGCCGCGGACGTTGTCCATGTGAGACAGACGACTGCCTGCCCAGTTGTGGCCGCTGTCGGTGTTGGACAGGGTTTTGTTGGGCATCGTGCCCATTTGTTTTCCGTACCCGCTGCTGGCGTCCGAAGAGGAGGCAGTGTCGCACCCTTGGTGGGCGCCCCCTCGGCTGGGCGGAGTCGCAGGCAGAGCCACGGAGCCCATATGAGGTATGTTATGGCACTGCGTTCGCCAGCCTGCCGCCGACCGCCCACGGGCACCAGGCTGTGGCGGCGTTTCCAGCTATACAAGTTGAAATATTACGGTGTGACAGGGGCAGTGTGCAACAACATGAGCAGCCATACACACACATCATTAATTATTCCTGCTTGCGTCGGGAAGGATCTTTGGCCAGAGCGCTCGAAAAATACGATTCATGAATGAGAATCCAGAATGTGCGACTGGTTAGCATGAGGCTGCATGTCTTCTTTGCGTGTACCGGCCTTTCCGCGAGTTGAGGCCTTTCCCCGTTGATGCTCACTCTTCTCCTCGCCTCCTCCTCGCCTCCTCCTCGTCCTCCTCCTCCTCCTCCTCCTTGTCGCCCCGCTCTGCTTGCTCATGTCTCCGCAGGGGGGACAGGATCTGTCCACCCTTGCCAGCGCCAGTATGAGGATGCTCGTCAATCTTGTGTGCCAGCCTATCCGCGATTTTAGGCCCGTCTTCGGTGGTGTTCTCTCTCCTCCTCTCTCCTCCTCTCCCCTCCTCCTCCTCCTCCTCCTCCTCCTCCTCCTGCTCCTCCTCCTCCCGTCCCGCCCCCTCCCCCCTTCCTCTCTTTCCCCTGGCGTGAGTCGAGCGTCGCTCAGAGAATGCGCATTATGACGAGTCTCGCGCGACGCTCGTGAAGCAAGACATGCTGAGGAACGGGGGCTGAAATACGAGCCTCCTTGGCCGCAAGAGCGGCCACATCATCCACCACGTGATTACTGTTGTTTCTTCAGCGTTGCGCACGCTGCCGCGCCACATCTTCACCAGTCCGGTGAGAACTCACGAAGAGCACAGTGATGCTCCGCGACGTGCCAGCCAACATCTGGCCTAAACGCGCCCAGAGGTCCTGATCAGGGCCCGTGGTCCATCACAATATGTTCACAATCAGAAGCGAAAGCGGTGGCGCCGGCGGTGCAACATACGTATACAAGCAAAAGCCCTGAGTTCTCCGCGTGCTAACTAGACATGTGTCTGGACCGGGTGAGTGGATTTTGGATGGTGGCGGGGATGTCTACACAAGGCTCGGGCTGATTAGAGTTCGCAATCCAGCGCCGACGCGTCGGACAGCTGGCGTCGCCAAATGCCAGCAGGGGTGTCGCCTCTGTGCCTTTACCGAGGTATGCGGCGCTCACTTCATCGTTCATGGTTGACGTCCAGCACTCGACCTGCGGCGGTGTGGGAGAAGTTGTCCACGACTTAGGCAACAATCCTCGCTTCCATAAAGTTGCGTCCGACTCCTGCTGAGCAATCGCCTGTGGGATGAGGTCAGCTGTGTCGTCGTAGGCAGGGCAGTTCTGGTTACGCTAGCCCACCCATAGTCAGTGTACAGTGATCTCGGGCCGCTTCTTGCATATCGCGTATTTGGGCATCTCCGCTTTCCTTTTTGCACGTGGCCACACCCCGACCACAGCACATGCGAGCATCACCTCGCCCAAACAGTTACCTACGCCAGGAACTGCTGATCATTTGTGAGACAAAATCCAACCTGATGTACAACCAACTCCTTGCTCCAAGCCTCCGCCACATAACTGACGGCACGCGGATTCCCACAATTTCTGCAGCGTCGGCCAAGAAACAGTCGTGGGTGTCTGAGGCCGTAGCTCCTGTGTCTCCACTCGTCTCCTGCAGCTGCGTGTGTGGGCGCGACTGTCCATCCATGTGTCTCTCCTGCACCACATCCTGGCTGATACAAGTGCAGGATCGATGCTGAGATAGGGTCTCTCACATGCCGAGACCTCTGGCTGACTGGGGTGCTGTCCTATTGTTGCACAGCTCGCTTCCAAACTTGTTGGACACATCCTCCTGGCTCGGGTCGATGTCGACATACCCGCAGCCAAAGATCCAGGCACCCCACTGGAAGCTTAATTGCTGGATACCCTGAACGCCAGCAGCGTAGTGAGGCACCTGCCCTTGGTGGGGGGGCAGCACATGATATGCCCCATCGACGACGAGCTTGTGTCAAGATTTCTACTTTGTTCCGTGCACGCGGTGTTTGTACCCCCCTGTTGTTTGTGACCCTTGTTTCTCCAACATGCTGGTCATATAATATTTCTTGGCAGGTACTGCGAAACTTGTAACCTTGCGGCTCATGGTGTTGTGCTTCTCATACCGCTTGGCCCTCACTGTCCGAGCCAGTTGAGCCTTGTATGATTATGACATGTCCACTCCAAGATTCCCAGCCTGCAACTTTGGAAGAACCGCGAACCCTGCTTTCCGAACAGATCGTGGTACCCATTGGACGCCTGGCAGTTTTGAACAAAGACGAACTGACGTTGGGGAAACTTGCAAACGCCTCGTCCGGTGCTCCTTACACGTAGCAGTAAGACAAGGTGCTATTTGCTTTCGCATTGCTCTCCGTGATGCCCGTGCTGGGTGTGATATGTTGTCGATCCAGATGCGGTGGCCCATCCTCGGATGATCTTGCATGATCTTCTCGAGCACGAAATGTGTGAGACAACGCCCGAAGCGCGAGGTCTTGGACAATGCTTTGGGCTGGTTGAAATGGCTGCGACGTCGCCCGTAGCCCAGGGTGCGGATGGCGACGCACTGGAGCATCTCCAGGTAGAGCACCCTCGATTGAAAGGGAACGTTTGAGAGCACATGCAGCGAGCCTTCGCCACTCTATCAGTCCATAGAAAGACTGAATATCAAACAATTCTTATCCGCAGGATGATGCGACACCTCGTGCTGGACTCTCTGCACATGAGCCTCTCTCAAATTAGACTTGCCGCGGATGGAGAGGCCCAGTCCGAACGGCGGGTTCGCGAAACATGCTCTATACACGGCCAATCATTGTCATCAGTCCGATGATGCGATCCCCCGACGACTTTTTTGGGGCTGTATGCGTCAAATGATCAAAAGGGCCTGACCAGGCCAACACAGGTAATGATCACGATATTCGTAGAGGAGCGCCAGCTCGGCCAATGTTTCATCTGGTAGTCGCTCGAAGTCCGTACGGATCGACCCCGCTCGAGGAGTGCAGCAGGAAGAAGGGGTCTGGAGCTTCGGCCGTGTTTTTTGGGGGAGCGGTGCCTGTATCCATTTGTTTCCTCAGGGGAGGAGGAGGAGAAGGAGGAGGAGGAGGAGGAAGAGGAGGAGTGGGAATGGGAGGGGGAGGAGGGCTGAGGGAGTCCCCAGGATAATCAGGAACCCCCAAGAGGCCCCAAGAGGGTTCCGGATGGAAGGGGGGCTCTGCAAAAAAAACCCATGCGGACCCCCGAGTTTGTGTCTAGTGATGGTGCTGTCGGTCTGTATTCTCAGGAGGACGAGGCCTGCAGCGAGTCTGGAGCGTCAAGGGCTGCCCCGGCGCCCTGGCGCACGTGTCGCTGCTCGCTGGAAGGGCCAGGGCTCGTGCGGTCTGGCGTGCGTGCGAGGTCGGTGATGTCTCCCGTGTCGCGCTTGATTCGACTACACGCAAAAGTGACGTTTCGCCAGGTTGACTTCTGATGTGGGTTTAATTGGGCCCTCCGATCGCCGAACGCGAAGCGGTAGCAGCGGCTTGCGCGCCCAGGTTTGGCCACCCCGCGTCCCTCGTCAAGCCGCGCACCAAAGGTCTTTCTTACCCAGGGTCACTCTTGCGTGTAGCCGATTGACCCGACTCGAGCGAGGAGAATCTCTTCCTTCCTTTCTTCCTCTTTTTTCCCCCTCCTCTGCTGCTGCCGCTCATCCGCCCTCCCCTCTCCTGCTCCTCCCGCTCCCTGGCGCCCTGCTGCTGCTCCTCCCCAGCCCAGCGCCTCCCGCGCCGCGCCGCCTCCCACGCGCCATTCGTTTTTTTTGTTGTGTTCTGCTCGCCAGGTCGGTGCTTCGGGGCGATGGGGGGGCGATGCACGATGCAGTGGGGAGGGTGGGGGGGGCGCGTTAAGAAGCTGCCAGTCGTCATGGCTGGATCCAGAGTGGCCCGCAGTGAGACTGCAAGGGTCTCCTGGCCCAGATTCCTTTCGAGGCCTTCGGGTCCAACGATTCTGGGTTTCCTGCAGAGTGGAGGCTTTCCCCTGACCCAGGCCCCACTGCAAAGATACTTTTGGGACTGTGCCGCGTCACGAGTGCACCCCGCGGGGTCCAGGCAATTCGCGTCAACGCCGAGGGCCCACGCATCACTGGCTTTAAAAAGCAAGGCAGTGCTCGCGGAGTCGCCCGCGCACCGTCATCTTTTGGCACCAGGTTCGATGAAGGAGGGGGGAGGAGACGGGATGTCGAGGGTGAGGGGAAGAGGGTGGGGACAGGAGGAGGCGGAAGAGGCTTGGGAGGACGGCGAGGAGTGAGGACGGAGAGAGGAGGCATGGGGGCAGGGGGTGGAGACCTCTTACCCGAGCAGCCCGGGCGTTGGGGAGGCACTGGCGGCTGGGCAACACGCGATCATACGGCAGCGTGCATCGTGCAGGGAGGGACAAGAAACAACGGCACAG